ACGATTCTGATCTAATAAATTTCATTAGTAGTGACCTAATAAATAATTTTATAAAAGTCAATCTCCCAGTATAGATCCACGTGCTTCCATCACGAACTTGATACAAAAAACGTTTGAGTTAAAAATATTTTAACATTTCATTCCATTAACTTACTAAAACTTTAATTTGTAAACAAAAAAACTAAGTCACGACTCGATCACGAGCGGAACGGTATTTGGAGACAAATAATAAGTAATCCAATTTAACGCCCCATGAAGATTTGATTCAAAACCTTAGGATGGTTTGTTACACTTTTATGAATTACGCACGCCATAAGTATCTTAATAAAAACAATATAACGGTTTGATATTAAACTGCAATGCTGGAAACATTTAAATTTATATTTATACAATAGCATCTTGGATTGGACACAAATTATTTTTGGAGTTGATATTCAAAATAAACTAATTTGTGATGATTGAAATAAACATAGTATCACCACGTTCCGTTAATGTATTGCGAAGTGATAAATGAAGTACATTCAGAAAACGGTTGTAAGTTATCACAACAAGCGTAAGCATTTAATACAATGACACGCTCTAACACCTCCCCTTTTATAAGTAGTAACACACGTGTTATGTTCAAGCGTGAAGAAACGGTATAGCACGAGACTACTGTAAATAAATAAAAATATATATATTTTTTATACTCCTTTATTTATAGATATTCTAATTTTATCGGTTACCACATTCTTATACATCACACTTGTCTTGGGATCAATATTTTTTATTTTTATTAGTGGCAAAATTAAAATATTTATTCACGTAATAAAAAAAATGCGAAGAGAAACTAAATAAATTACTTTGTTTAAAAAAAAATTAATACTTTAAGTCTTCATTGTTTACTTGTTAATAATAATTTTTCTTTGTCTTCTTTGGGCCCTCGAACAACTGTACAGGTATTTTACGACAGGTGAAATATGATGGGTAATTGAATAATCAGCTGTTGACACGGTATTTGCGTGCAATACTGAGCGTGACGTGTTACGCTCTAATATACCACGTGCTTTACCATGGGGTCGGTGGCGAACCATGAAAATGCCAACAATTAACACCTTACGACATTGATTTGCTTCGTTAACCAATTACTTATGTTACTTATTGTTGACATATCTCACTTTTCAATTTTGATTTAATAGTTATAAGTTTTAGTAATATTCTAGTACAGTTTACATTGAAGTCTATCGTATGTCATTTACCATCTATTATTTGATTCTGATAGTAGCACAGCTGTCAATTGTACACGATCACAGGGTTCTATATAAAATGAGCTATAATTTGGATCAAAGCTATGCCACTCCAGTTGCGGTACCCTCCAGACATACGGTGGCATATATCAGGGTATTGTTAAGATTACATACTTTATTACGATTGAGAAATTTCTCAAATGTACTAGTATTTTTATATTATTTGATTCCAAAAGTATTATTCACATTTCCTTATTTTGTTTCCAAAAGACAATACTGGTTATTTTATGTATCATTATCGACAAGATTTCTAACAAACAGATAGGCAGACAAAGAGGAAGACAAAAAGTTTTACATAAACACTTATTGACTGCCTTAATTATTATTTAAGTTAATAATATTTTCAAGTCCATTGTATATCCGAATCAGTACATAGGTATTCAAAAGTAGTTTGTATTCAGTTGAAAATGGAAGTAAGACTTGTAAAGCTACCTTCGAGCTTCCATACATATTCCGATATATTATTACTGTTTACCTCCGGCCTTCACGACTGGCAATTTCCTTGAACATTTGCGCAGAGGCACGTGCTGAAATGGAAACTAAATAAGTATGGTCGTCTACTTATTATTCAAACTATAGAACACCAAATGTGCAATTGGATCATTTTCTATGTTGAGATGTTTATATCATTCAAGCCTATTTACTTTATAAGATCATAACATCTAAAATAAAAATATATTTATAATTATAATCGATATTTCTAATATACGTACATTAATGTAATTTGATAAATCAATATTCAAATTAGTTTTACTTCGAAATTTTGCGACTCTTAATTGTGTAGGTACCACACTTTAGTTGCATACATCTAACAAGCCACTTCATTCACATTCCTGGATATAATAGCGCGTGGCAATTTGGTGGAAGTGAGGCAAATAATCGCCCCGGGCAAACAATCATGGTAGCTGAGTTTCCATTGTCACGCAAATACAGTGTTTCAAAATAACAATAGTTTGATCTTTAGTAAATATAAGCGATCTACATAATTCATGCAATTTCAGCACTTCTGTTCGGAAGAAGTATTTAAACAACATTTTTTTTCGTGATTAACTCTTAAACACTAAATGCTTATCAATTATATTTTCTATAATTACGGTTTGGTATTCCAAATATATAAAATATTATTGCATTTGAACCAGGATCCTAGGATAACTATTAGTACCTATTCTTTTAGTTTTGGCAAAGTTTATCAACACACCAGTTTGCAAAAACGCAAAATACATTTAAAACTACAGAGTTTAAGCTATAAATTAACAGAAGTTTTAGCACTCATTTAAATATATACTCTTTGAAAAAAACATCAATTTCGTAAATAATCTTGGACAGCACCCTTTGTGAATCTGTTAACGTATTGAAAAATTCATTTAACGATTTAATTCCGGGGTTTTTTTCGTAAAACATTATAATGGTCGGTAATGCCGTTGGCATTTTGCCCTTGAGTAAAACAAACGTGCAATGGAAACAATGAAACTAAATTTAACCGACGTAGCATGTAGAGATGTCATTAATGCGTGCCGGGGGCGGATGACCATTTTAGCTTCTGTTTAAAAACGCGATCCTGAACGTAGTCCCCTTCTTTAATAATTTGCCATTATGCATTTAGAGGTCCAGATCAGAAATTGATTCTTATGAATTTATTAGTACAAGACACCTCAAAAGAAAAAAATATATAATAACGGTATCTTTAATCAACTTCAATCGTATCGGCATGTTTTACACAACCTATGAATTTCTAATCTAAATTCAATTCTTCAACATTTAGCGCATTTTTGATACCATACAGCTTAAAGTATTTATTACATTATAGCAATCAAAAGTAATTGTTACCATTTGGTATGGTTCAATCTTTCCATTACAGAGCAAACTGGCACTTGACCGGTTTTCAGAGAACACGCAAACAAGCGCCTCCGGGGTACCCTCGCGCATGCTTCGTTTTTATAACTTAAAAACTTATATTTTAAATATATTAAAAAAATTGATATCAGTATTATATATCAATTTATAAATCTTTCATAACACTACGTATATCGAAATTTTTAATATTTTTTTTTTAAATAATTTAACCTCAATATAATTCATTAGCTATATTACTATATTTAAGTAGTCAGAGTATTATTTATTATTCTTTAAAATCATATCCATCATCATGTACATGTTTACATGTCGTGATTGCTACAGGTTCATTTAGACTTACTGAGAAGATTACAGTCTTAGCCATTCAGTAAAACATTGATGAATACAATGATATTGAGTATAATGGTTCTTTGAAGAAAACCCATTGCTTTGTAATTTCTTTACTGATATTTAGATTATTCACTAGAATTTTAGTATCGGGTACTTATTTTTAAAGAACTTTTATTAACTGTTTCTTTTAGCAGCTAAAATTTTAATACACAGCTTATAATAGTTTACTATATATTAAACAGCATTTTTAAGCTTCATAGTTTTGATCTATAATTTTTAATATAACCATAGTGAGGTAATAAAATTTTAAAAATTGTTAAGACACTGAAAATAAAGGACGCGATAATGGCTGTTTATAATTTTAAATGTTATTTAAGTAGAGATGACATTATTATTATTTGTATTTTATTATCTTCTCAAATTAATACTCATTAAATTGAATACTGTTCTATATTTGTATAAATTTACATTTTTATTGGCTTTAATATGTTTAAAAATTCAGAATAATCATTGGAATTAACATCTTATTATGTAATTTAATGAATTTTAAATATTTATGATTAATTAATTAACTTTACAATAATCTTTTTATTAATCACTTTTTAATCTCTGTTAGTATTTGTTGTTTTCCTTTACTTTTCTGTAAAATAAAATTAAAGAGCAAATAATAATTAAGTGAATTTTCGCTAGAAATATGTAGACTATATTTAGTATTTTATACTATTTATTAAGTAATTGATTTTATAAGTATTTTATGTTATGCTTTCCATAGAAATCTGTATATTTGTATGTATTAAAGATTTGAGAGGACATGATACGTGGAGACAAAAAAAATTTTTCAGTTAAAATATTTTATTAAATTTCTAAATATCTTTATGGACCTCTTGGAAGGAAAAACTATATTGAAGTCAGTACTATTTTAAACTTTTTTAAGCTACGTATAAAAATAAGAATAGTATTTTAAATATAAACTGCAAGATACTAACCAAACATAATCGATCGAAATATTATTTGAGCAGCGGCAACTTCTGAGGAAATCCTAGATGAAGTAGACAGCTAACTAATTGAGATTGGATAAGGCACATAAATAAGTTGAATAATGATTAAGATAAAAATTATAACCAGTATAGGATAGTGTTGTAGATGTGAATTTATAGCTAATATATTTTGTTTATTTTACATTTTTATTAAATTCTAATATGCTTTAAATGAATTTATGGTTTCATTATTTAAAAGACGATGTGACAGAAATTATATTTAATATAATATTAAACATATTATATTGTTTACATAAACAAATCAAATATATCTTGTTTTAATTTGTTTTTTCTAACTACTATGTGTTTTTCATATTCTGCAATATTTGGGATTGTCTTCTTTTAACTTTTTTAATTGGCACTATTTATCATACAAAATACTTATTCAAATTAGAAAAAAAAAGATGACATGACATAATATCTTAAAGTCTCTAGGGATCTTAAAAATTACAAAAATGTTATATTCTAATTATTGCATAAAAAATTAATGCAGGTACGTCATCGATTCGGGCTGTTTGATGAAGTATGTACTTCAGCAGGAGTGCAAGTTCGTCACTGTAATTGGGTTAGATTTCTACGGGTGTCAGAAAACTATGGACCACAGGTATTGTTAAGTTTTTATTTTGAAAATTATTTTACTTTTAAGTTCGTCAAGTATCAATACTCAATAATTTCAAATTTTATAATAATATAAATACATAATAATAAGTACAAACATAAGCGATTCGTTTTAGGTGAACCTAGTATGTACAAAAGTAAAGGGAGAACCAGTGTACGAAGCGGTTAAACCAGTATCTGCGCACACTGAGCTGGTAGTCTACTATCTTCCAGAAAGACCTGAAGAGCTATTCTTCGTAAGAATGAGGAATAATCTGTACAGACAGACAATGGATTCTATATTGGAAGGTAACGCTTATTTTTATAAAAACACTATTTTATTTCATCAATAATAAAATATACAAAATAGTTCATGAAGCAGTAATCACTACTATGTAATTCCTGTATTCGTTTAGTAACTAAAAAGAAATTATTACAAAATTTTAATAAGAAGATACAAATAATATAAAATACGTATAATAAAATTTTCATTTCAATGAATTATTATTTTCGTGGATTTGCTCTGTCTCGGCCCTAGCGAAAAGTATATATGTATATTCTCCCTTTTTCAAAATAAAACTCGACATCCTTGTTCTAGATACTAAAGATAAGAAACATAAAAATTATTAATTATATGGACGAATTCTTAAGAATCAAACTTTACCAAAGAGTAATAGGACTTCAGTGAACTTCTTTTTATTTTAATTAAAAATATTAAGATAAATATCAATAATAATAATATTTTGTATGTAGAGTATGTTAAATTTAGTATGTAGGTATAAACATCGGCGGCTTTTCAAAGAATTCTCCCGTTCAGTAGTCGAGAGTTCGTGATTGCTTTTTTATCTCACTCGTACTGATCAATGCGACATCTGTAAATGACTATCGTTAGCCTCACTAATGTCCGTTTGATTATTTGTTTAAATGCTTAAAATCGATGTGGTGAGATTTATAATTCTATACGATTTACTTTAAAGTCACTCCTGGCATGTATATGTAAATGTATTTTATTTAATATACAATCTAATCTATATATTTATGAAATTTATAGAAAATAAATAATTATTGTCTTCGTATAGTACCGGATAAATATTATATTTCATATAACACATTTTTTTTATACATATCGAAATGTTTGACAATTATTTTATGTTACATTAACGTTTTGTAAGCAATTATATTTGAGGCTTAAAACATTTAACACTATAAATGGGCCTTAACTGTTTTTATGCCGATAACGAAAGCGGCACGTTTGTTTCTCTAAAGGCAGATCCGATCGAAGACTACATCGATAATTTCAATGCAGCTGTCGACGGAAATGACCTATATGTATATAAAAATAATATAAAATATCACTAGTGCTAAGGCATCTTACAAACTTATTTGTTCGTTTTCTTTACTTACAAATCCTTTAAAATGTTGCATGTGTATTCGTGTTGACTTGGTCTATTATCGCAAAAAGAAATAAACAATTTTGATAAAATTTTGTATAACCGCCAAGGTTACTTTCATCAAATATATACAAAGCTTCAAATTTCAAAGAAAATTAATAATTATCTTGTACATCTCCTGTTTCACTATTAGTTCAAAATTCTTTACAAATATGTTTAGATGAAGCATCAATGGCGAATTTCAATTTTTATCTAATGAAATTGAATATATTTTCAATATGTAAAGGAGCGCAGCTATCCTACATCTGTTTGTGAAACACATCATAAATTGTAAATGTTTTATAATTAAATAAATTCACAACAATTAATTAGTTCGCAATTCAAACTACCAAAACAGATAACATCAAAGTTCGATCCAAATAGAGAATTGTTTGTTATCAATTATGAAATCTGTTTGTACAAGTGATTACGAACTATCCTTTGAAAGATACAGGTATGAACTAGTTTGTTATTTTCATTAATTGGATTGTAATTCTTTACTCGGACTTCGATCGCCTTTCCTTTCAACTTTAGTTAAATAAAAAATATATCTAGATCATCGTACACAAAAAAAATGTATTTTTTTTTTTAATTTAAATCATAAATTTTCTAGTTTAAAAGAATCTGGGTATGTAATTCAAACAAGAAATTTGATTTTTAACTCGGACGATAGAAATCTTGATACAAAAGTCTAATTAAGACAGGCTCCAAGCAAAAATACAAACCGCAATAAACATAAATTGTCTAGACTCCCATAACAACATTTTTACGGTTGTCAATAAATTGGTTCATTAATATTTTTTTTTTGCTCTGATTGGATCAAGATATTTAATGGTTGAGATTTGAATGGGTTTAGATATTTGACTCATCAACCAATGCTTTAAATTTTGTGAAATTAAACGATGTCGAACTACAAAAACTTACAAATATAAAATTGTTTACAGATTCACCTTTAGATCTTTCCACATCATTACTCTCAAGAGTTCTTCTACCAATATCTCCTCCATCAGGAGCTGAAGATGAACACAAATCTGTATCTGGTGACTCCTTAACATCTTCATCCGCTGGTTCATCGACTGAACTTCTAGAAATGACACCAAAAATTCAGAGAAGGCCCGCTAAGTCTGAAAGAGCTTTGCTCCCTTGCGAAGTTTGTGGAAAGGCATTCGACAGGCCATCACTTTTAAAAAGGCATATGCGAACACACACCGGTATGTAAATAATTTTGATGTTAGTGTTTGTAAAATTTTAAATTTTCTTTAAAATGATTCTAAGACGTTCTGTATATATTTTAGGTGAAAAGCCTCATGTTTGCATGGTATGTAATAAAGGCTTTAGTACATCCAGCAGTCTTAATACACATAGAAGGATACATTCTGGTGAAAAGCCTCATCAGTGTCAGCATTGTGGGAAAAGATTTACGGCGAGTTCAAATCTCTATTACCATAGAATGACACATATAAAGGTAAGAAAATAAGAATATAATGAACAAAGATTATTGAGTAAAAACACGTGTAGACGTCATATATATTTAATACGAATGAAGAAATAGAAAAACCAATAATTAAAAAATATCGTTAATTATTACTAGAAATCACGGAAGCTTACATACAACACAATTGATTTATGAAACCATAAAAACTCGTTATCCTTGTTAAAACAATAGCTGCCTTATTACAGTTTTTCTACTGATAATTCACATGTTTCTTGCAACTATATCCTTTTAGCTTTATTACTATAAATTGTCCTTTTTTTCTTATCTGAAAAATATGCAATTTACGCCACAATATTTCCATTATGAAATTTTATAGACCATTTATTTTCTTGTCAGAATATCACTGGCATTATAATAATTATTCCGATACATTTCTTAAACTTTTGAGATTATATGTATTTAACGATTTCCAGATTTTTTAATTATTTTACACAGTATCGATTTTCAATGACATTTTATCAGTAACAATTTATTTCATATTTAATTAAATAGTTGACGGAAATAATTAATCATTGTTTAATTTTGTTAGATTTTTTGTTTTCAATTTATGTATAAGTTCCCATGTTCACATAAAAATGATCTTTAAATGCTATTGTGTAATTAATTTTCTCATAAGTGATGATAATAACATACAAAATCCTATGAGTCGGTAAAGCTTACATATTACCTGGTGATGTTACTGTGCTCACTTCCCATAACGCCCCTTAAGTTTTTACTTATTTAACTATGACCTCATGTGTCCACGACTTAAGAAAATCACAAAGCACCTTACACGGTAAACGGCCACAGGGTTGCCACTCAATACTATTTATAATATTAAAATTTTTATGTATCCTATAAAACGTTAAACTTAAAAAAATATAATATATAATTGTAAACAGTATACATTTTACTTCATATATTTTTATGTATAAATATAAATCAGGTATTCAGTACATAGATTTTGTTAACTTATTTATATTATTATACTGCATCGTAAATTGGGGAAAAGAATTGTTTATTTGTATCAGCCCTAATTCCATAGGGTGCACCTGCGGTCACAGGTAGTTGTGAAGGAGGGCCAATAAATTACCAGGTCAGGTCATCGTGGGAATAGTAGTGGGCAGCAAGTGTGACGCATTGATAGCGTAATGCTTTTACAAAAACAATCACAATTGTTACACTACTCAATGTTTACTTCAATGCATGCATTGCATAATTTCAATAAAAAATTCTTGTGCTGCATGTAATATTCGAATAAGATTTGAATTAAAAACATTTTTTTATTTTTATTAAGACATGAATAATAATATTAAAAGGACGTTTTGCCAATAATTATAATAATAATAATGAAGAGGTCCAAAAAGTCAAAAATAAATGTTCCCACGGATTCAAGGAACCGTGTCGTACAAGACGATATTGAAGACGTCGCGACCACCGAACCGTGGCTTCACACGCTCGTATGAGAACTTTGGTATATAAGATGACCAGACAGTGTGTTCTATCGGCACCTATAATAAACTATTACAATTTTTTCAACTAGAAAATATTTAATACGGTTTTGTTCGGTCTCCGCTATGATGAAATATGTCCTATCGTATTTTACCATAAAATATTATAACATGAAACTAAATTTATTTACCTTCAAGACAAACCCATTATCTTTCTGTACTGATAAATCAGGCATTCTCTTTGCAAGAATCTTTCAACTGTCAGTGGCATCTTATGGGACAGTACTGAGCTAGTTAGGAATTGACAGGTCCAATAATAAAGCATCGTTCACAATGGATGTGAATGATGGACAATGGGAAGCTGATACGAAGCTGAGGAAGCAATTGTTGTTACTTAGGATGACTGCTTTAGATGTGGTCATATAAAGGCATACTGGTTCAGTTCCGTTTAATTCAAGTCTTCAAATTCTTGCAAGTATTCATGCTATTTTGAAATTAAAAGTACTCTGAAACTGACTCTTTATATAATATTATTGAAAACAATCACAATGTGTGCATTACCCGATCATAGTGTGGCATATCCAAAAACCCAGGGATTTTACCTAAATTGAAAGTTGTAGTGAATTTACGTGGCATGCTATTTATTGTTATTCGCAATATCAATTCATAGAATCTTTAAATGTCACCATAACATGACACTTCGTCCTCGTTAGAGGCTCGTTATTTGTTCGCTGCTGGTATTTCTGTCAATTTGGACACTCGTCGTAACAATTGCTTCAAATTTGCATTCTTGTCAAACACATAATTGTAAGAAGTTCAAGTAAAGTATGAAGGTAATATATATTGTAAGGATAAATATTTTAAATTCATATTATTTTAAATTCATAACTTTTTTCAAACAAATAATACTTTTATGCCTATCATAGCAAGTTTTAAAATAATTCATAAAGTTATGTAAGAGTATCAAAAAACCTTAGCAGATGGCTGCTTATTGTTTTTATATATAAACTTGAGCGCTGGTGAATCCTTTGCACCTGCCAGAGCACTTCAAACTTCAGCATTAAAACACTTGTTAATTGCTTTTATACAATTTATTGTAATGAATCTCGTGAAAATGAAATGTCTTTTAGACTTTTAGTTCATCACCTATACATAATATATATCATATTTAATTTCCGTTTATAAATTATTCACTGTTAGAGCTACTATATGATACATTCTATGCCTACCAGTTAATGAAAATTGAAGTCACCAAACAAGTTGCTTAATTTAGTTACAGTTCGGCTCCCAATTATAGTTGTGTAAACATTTTACGACTTATCAGTCGATCGAAGTCACATAAATAGGAATGATGTGTAACGGATATTGATTATTTACGAGATCAAAGTGACTTTAGGTATAAATGTTTGAAATCAACGACAGAATTAAGTGGATTACAGGAAGTCAATCAACGAATTTATTGATCTAGTAAACTTTCGAATTGAATAACGACGTTTGGTACATTGTACCCGTTTTATATATCAGAGCTTTGATTGCCGGTAATATAAAAGATTTAACGTTAAATTATTATCTGTCGATTCTTTTAATGAGTCTTTTTGACAGTGATTCACCCATTGGGATTTAAATTTAGATTATTTTTAAGCAAACGGTTTGAGAATTTAGATAAAATATTGCAGAACTGCATCACGTAGATTAAACTCATTTTTCAAACTATTGACCTCGCATCTTGTCTTTACCTCCGTAAAGACTATATATATAAATCCAACAATGTAGAAAAATGTAAAAAATATTCTTGTTTGAAAATATACTGAAATCTGAAGTAAGTTGTGAAACACAATGAATATTATATATATATGCTTGAATAAACGAATAAAAAGTTTTTAATGACACTTTGTGTAAATAGAACCTATGAAAATAATTACTTATTTCGTTTAATAGTTCCTATGGTTCATAATTCCGGCGGAACGGATGCATTTCTGATTTAAAATTTAAATAAGATTATAAATAACCATTATCTTGAAAACTAAACGAGAAGCGGTGTTATAAACAATATAACATTTTCTAATTAAACATGACCGTTGATTGTTTACCACTCTTGTTTTTTACATTGTATATATATTATTATTTTTATTACATTTTACTCGTTATCCCTATATTATAAAAATCCAAAAAATAATTTTCAGTCTGGAAAGTTTGTGGTCTGATTCCAGTTGTCTTGAACTTAACACATTAGCATTTTATCTTGAAAGGGGGACTGAATAAAATTTATATGAAAAATACATAATATTGCATTAAAGCAAGAAACGACGACGTTCTCAGAACCTTCTCATATTTTTTTTAATAGATTCATGAGATAAAACATTTCTTTTCAAATTGAGACGATCCTTACCGTGCATTAAAAACATGACAGCTATGAATAAAACAATATTTTTAAATAAAAACTGTAACAAAATAAACGTTGATTTTCTAACTTGTAATCATGTGAATCTCGATATATTTTATATGCAGTTTTTTACATTACACCCCATACATTGTAAACAAATCGAATGTAGCTTATAAGGGATATAATATATTTCAACCAGCTATCTCAAGAGAATATTTTTTGTTCATACTTTTCAATATGAAAAATTAAAACGTATAAAACTTTGGCTTGTATCTACCCTGTACTTACTAGGTATTAATAAAGTAAAAAAACTAACTATTGCACAGTTAATTGCAGAGATCGCGTGTCGACCACGTCTGTAACACGGTAACTTAACAATATAGCTGATTTACAAATAATGACATATTGCGTACTGACAATCGCAGCTCATTTTAGTTATAACTTTCCAACAATTTTTTATAATATCTTAATTAAATGTTTTTCCTGTGATTTTACAAAATCTTTTTATAATCATTGTACATTATTATAGCAATACCAATAATATTTTCCTATATTCACTCATTAGCGCTATATAAAAAACTGAATATGAAATGCAATTTGCCATACTTAAGTTGATAAATAAAAGAGATAATTAATTCCAACCAAATAAGTATTAAGAGATCAAAGTAAAAAAAAAACTAATCCGAAAGCAGATGATCGTCTTGACGTTATCAGTTGCGGCATGATGAAATGAATATTAAAATGTATACAGTCTCTCTAAGTACGCAATGAAATACCACTAAGAGTAATGGAATGTGATTCCTATAAGATAAATTATAAATTCCAATTTTCAATGCTTCGAAATAAGATTTCGATTGTTTGTCATAAGGCCAACGTGTCACGTATGATTTTTTTTTACTATATACTTTTTGAAATAAAATCATTTTAATTTTGATATCTAAGAATATCGAATGTGTGTATTGTATGTTACATACATATATTTTTGAAAACAAAATGTTTAGGTTTCAAAGATATTCCACACTTGAACGTATGCGTATGTTTATATTATAATTGTAATGCAACGTCAGAGTAAAAACATTTTCAATGCGCAAACGCCTTGATCGCATCAGCACGCAACACAATCAATCATACATTATCGTCCTTTTGCTGGCTGTACTGATTAAATTATTTGAGCGATGTGACTTTATGAAACGACCTATCGATCAGGCTGGCTCCAAACTAAACTTTACAAATTAGTTATTAAACATATTATTTTTATTTTTAATTATACTCTCTATAACCGATTTATATCAACATAAGTTCTAATTTTTAAATGTACGTAAAAACTAAATGTTAACGAACTTGTTGATGCAGTCTTATCCTGGTGCAGTGCTGAATTTAAATAAATTTTATCAAGAACGCGTGGATTGCAATCACACTTGATTGGACGCGACAGTCTTTTTATTTTTTAGCACTTAACACAGAACGGTTTACATGACGCTGATATTAATTTAGATTTTCGTATACCAAAAATACAGATACAGTATTACAGATACAAATAAATAATCAATTTCTAAGAAGTACATCTAATTATTCTACAATGAACTGCTTTCAAGACACTTTGCGGGCTATTATTTCAGCGAAAATTTATCTTAATATAAAAATCGGTTTTAATATGTTAAGAAACATGACGCTTTTAGCTGTCCGAGTCTTTATTAACATGTGCATGAGCCCTGGATAGATCAAAACACTTTATGATGTATGAGGCTCCAATTAATATTCACCTTGTCTCGTTTTAGCCGCCACAATATTGATTAATCGAACTCTCTATAATTGGGCTACGGTAATTAATTAGGTACCTATAGTGAAGATTATGATAAGAACAACGTTTCAACTTTGATGTTTTTGATTCAACTTTCTTATTGCTTTATTGTGGGTATTATAAAAGTTAACGAAGCAGATATATTATTAAAGTTTCAAATTTTAACTTTATATAGTTCCGATATTAAAACATTAAAATATGTTCCCATATGACAAAATAAGGTTGTATAAATCGCCAAAGGATTTCAAGTTTTCTGACCCCGATCAACATCAACGAATTGATAATAAGAACTTATCTTCATTAGAGAAACATCCTGATTTCCAAGAATAAGTCCTAACGAGCAATACCGAAACCTAATAGGTCCTGCACGCATCTTACGTGGATCAATTTATTTAGTTAAATTAAGCGAGGCGCATCGCATTTGCATTCAATTTCCATAACGCAGCCGCTGTATCAGTTGGCCATACGTCACTGTTAGGACGAGATACAACTGGAGAAGGATCGTGATCGAGCGAGCGATTTGCCTATCGAGAGTGGAACGATATTATATAGTTTTGTTTTGAATATTAATTGATTTCTAGATAGCTGTAATTATATTCTTGCTGAATTTCCAGTGCATTTGCGATAGTAGAACTTTTTTTACTTCCAATATAATAAGTTATGATTGTTTTTGTTTTCATATGACTTTCTTTATTTGTGCGTTATTGTTAATGAAAGAAAGATATTACAAGTGTAAATTATGAGAGAATTGACACTAATATTGTTTTTTCGCCGACACAAAATGCATACGTTCATTATCCGTGCGCGAGACGAGTTTTTTGTGCGGCTCGTGATTTATCCAACGGAAATTGTCAGACAACTAATGGCTCTTTGTTTATTGATTTATACATTGCAATATTCGGTAGCAAGAAAGGTCGAAATAATAATTCCACTCCTTTTTTTGTACAATTGATTGAGCCACTGGGGATACGCCAACCTGCCCATATAAAAATATGGTTATGGTCATCAATAAAACTTCTTTTGGAACTCCATTCTGATTTTGTGGTATAGTAATTACGCTTTTTACTGGGTGTGTGTTGTGGGCGGGCTAGCGAAAATTAAATGGGTGGTAACACTCCTAGCGATAAAATTTGATTAGACAACGGAAACGACTTTATTTTAAATCAAACTAAGGGTTTTGAATGAAATACTTTTATATTCAAATACATCAGGCTGTCTCTGCACCTGTTATTACCATACAGTTTAATATGGAAGACTGAGTAAAAAAGCAAATAGTGTATTATTCTTTTATTCAAAAGAAACTATTTTATTTCAAGTATGTTCAAAATTCAGTAATTTCAACTTCAACTAACTCAATGATAAACAGAGGAATATAAAGAAAGGAGAGGAAAATAGTTAACACTTCAAACCACGTAACGTTGACAGCTATTTCAAAGATATTAAAGCTATAAATGAAGCATAATGACCGAAGGAAGCCGCAGTGGAACGACGATATGGTTTATTCAATTACGGTCATGTCTACCGTATGTTTACGTGTTATTCACGGGTCATCAAGCCTTTTTATAATCGAGAAAATATTCTAGTAGGTGACAATTTTGAAACAATGTCGACAGCTTACACGTTTTTTAAATTCGTTACGGTTAAACCATTTCACATGCCTCTTCATTATTAAAAAAATTCTTCACAAATCATAATATACACTATAACTATATACACAGAAATCAATATTGAAGATAGCCCTTAAACTACCGTATAAACACTTTTTAATTAAACGAATATTCTTCAAACTGTAATTCCAAAGCAATATAGAACCAGTGAGATAGTAAAATGGGCTGGCAGACTCAAAACAAGGCACTAAGACTTCCATTATAAATTCATTTGCACGCTCTCCGCGCGATGTGCACCGTCATGACTTTGATTATATTGGAGATGATGATGATTATTAGCCGTTTTATTGTCTTCCTACATTGATTTTATTTTATTTCTGGTCATTATCTTTGAGAATGAGTAAAGTTATATTTACAGCGGATAGTTTATTTTTTAATGACGTTCTTTATGGTTTCTTAGTATCTTTGGTTTTAATTTGATACTGTTTGGTCTTCTGTATTCGCATTTTTTTTATTCCGTTCTAAATTGAAAGATATTTTTGTATTAATTTATACCTGATTTATACTTATTCTTTGATTTTAAATAGTAACTAAATATATATTTTTTGTTTATAGGAAAAGCCTCACAAATGCAGTCTATGTTCGAAATCGTTTCCGACCCCTGGCGACCTCAAATCTCATATGTATGTCCACAGCGGTTCGTGGCCTTACAAGTGCCATATCTGCTCCAGAGGATTTTCGAAACACACCAATCTGAAGAACCATCTCTTCCTTCACACTGGTAATTATTTGGTGCAATCAACTAAATAAAAAAAACATTTTTTTTTAATAAAAGAAATTAATAATTGGTATTTATTTATTTATTTCATTATAATTTCTTATGATTATTTTTTTTATAGCTAAACATCAACGTAACAGCACCAGAGACACAACTTGAAGAAGACCTAAGAATAATACTTTATGCAAATGAAAATAATCTTCGTTATCTTTATATAAAAAGTGTGATATTAGACATTAATTAGTGTAAGGTATTAAATTATTAAAATATATAATTGATTAATTTTAAATAATGGTAGAATATACTTTTATATTAAGCTACACAATTTTAAGAACTGATCATTATACTTCTGTATATTATAAAGTTTTTTTAAATAGACACGTCTAGATTAGGTTATATTTTTAGAGATTACAAAATATATTGTATATACTTAACCGCCTCCTAATTGTAAATAAAAATAGTAAACTACATAGTACTATGTAGTAATTTTAAACATAATATACTTACATAACGTATGTATATAGTGATGCTATTTGCCGTCCAAAATAAATTCAAGCGAATTATTAATTTATAAAAACGATATTTATATATTATTTTTAAGTGCCTTTACTATTAAAAGTTTATAAATTATGATTTTGGTTTAATTTTTTTACCACATATTAATATATTATTTTCAGATTTAATTTGTTCTAATATGTACATAACATGAATTTGAACTACCAAAATAAAAATATTATGTAATACTTAAACTTCTTCATTCATTTTGAATGTTTTTTTGGTACTCAAGTTATCCCTAAAGTAAAATAGAATTTAGACAGGCGTCAATAAAGCTTCACTTTCATGATTTAATAGACATAACCTCAATTAATTTTAAAACTGTATGTTGGAATGATTTAATGGTAATGAAAATATATTACTAACAAAAACCATTGCTTAAATTCAAATTATAACATAGAAAGTGGAAACATACAGCGTCATGAGATTAAAATTTTCGCTTCACGACCGGATTAAGCTCTTGACCCTAAGCAAATCATACACATTTTTAAAGTAAGCTAATTAAAACGTCCAACATTTATCACCTCTCTATAGATATATTTATAGCTCAGCATCTGTAGGCGTGTACACGCGAGCCCCCGACTGATTTGCATAATACAACCGCTCTGGCAATATTAAGTCTTAATTGTTGAGAGCGGACGGCGAATACGTTATGTTTATTTACATTTTCACGGTTACTTTATAATTAAATTGCTTTGTAATTAACGACATTTTAAACGAATCCAAGTAAGGTGCGATATGTGTTTATAATTTGTTTTCATTTTAATTATACTCTCTTCATCGTCATGAAACTAATATTAAATCAGCTCAGATTTTATGCTCTCAAAATTCCTTTGCGTTAATAGACACAAAAATATTGTATATTTGGAATTCTAGACAAGAATGGATATATAAAGTTAGTTTTTCATTAACGGTTTTAATTTTGTCATACTTTGAAAAATTAAAACTTCAAGAAAAACATTCCATACGTTCATCCCACATTTTTGATTGCATCGGTGTACATAAGGGGTATAATGCCTTAGAAGTTGTACACGAGATATATTCAAGTGGGAGAAATGGAGTTTATTGAATATTTTATAAAATAAATTTGTTCACATCTTGTTATGTTTCCACTCTATCAAAAGAAGTCTAATACTAATTCCCAACAGCATATAATAAAGATTACAATATCCTCCTATAGCTACTGAAATCACCTTTTTATAAAATGGCTATATTAGCGATAATATTATAAATATAGAAACATCATTTCTATGTTATAATATTATAAAATTTTACACTTATGATCCAAGTCGTCATAAATTTACTGTCAGCTATTAAAATAAAATCCTTCCTTTTGAGCCAAATTCATGTGCACACAATCGAAACAAAGGTTTTCCCTTAAACCACATGGAAAAAAATGACATTGATATTCAAAATATATTTAAAGGGTATTTCTCGTATTTCAAAACCTATTTCTCAATATTGAGATCTAATTATATTGTTTGATGCAATTGTTATGAAGAGGTTAGTCATAATTATGATTATTATAAATCACTGACATTCATAACTAATGTTGTATTGATCAGGTACTAGTGATTAATGTAATTCACTGTGTCTTATATCATAATTTTATTTAATAAATGCATATATAGGCTTTCTTATGTAAAAAAAAAATTGTAATTAATCCTTTATATTCATACAAAACTGTGAATCAACAAAACTAAACGAACGAAACGAATAATTAAAAATACTATAGCGTCATTAGTGATAATTTATTATAAAGCAGAAATTATAAATTGTCTTATATTCAAATATTTTTATCATGTCTTATCAATGTTTACATGAAAGCAAACAGTTTAACTTAAACCCGAATCGGGCGTCAATCTTGAACGCTATAAATCTTTATAGAAACAATTACATCGAATACTGGGTGGTCGTTTAGAGACCACCAAAACAGTCTATTACCAAATAAAGACGCCAAAACATAAAGATGATAATATTGTTACTTAGTAACCATTGATCGTGATGAATATAAATATGATAGTGTCTTAAAAAGATTAAATTTTTGCTGTGAATACAAAATTACGTTAAAATGTCTGTAATGTTTGTAAGTTTCAAATAGTTTAAGCATTTCTCTATTCATATTCTTCAAAATTATAGTTCTTGTCATATAGTAAAACATAGTACAAAACGAAATGAGCTTTCATTTTACTGTTTGCAACTATCTGACGATCAGAATTGTACGGCGTTCCAAAGAGAACACTGTTAACAAAAAGCTCGATTAAACCAACAATTTAGACCAACGCGAGCGCACAATGCCATAGATCGCGCCACAGGAGCCTATGTTACTACGCCTTCCATTAACAATAGACCCGTCGTCCGGCGATATTTCGTTGTAATTGCAGGTCTTTATACATTGGTAATTTCAATCTACCGAATCAACTATCTGTAAAAAATCCAATAAGCCGACGCGAAGTAAACGAGTTGTTTGGATCAATATGGAGTGTTGTTCGTAGTAAACTGCTTTGTCATAGGGCGTAATCGAGGTGGGACGGTGGCGCCTTTGTCAGAGCCGTCATCGGCTTTTTGTGGCTATATCTGATGAGTATTGCTCCCATTTCGCCGGTAAAAAACTAGCACGTCTATGCTTCAGCACAATCTTTCAAATACTTCGTTTATTACTGGCTATCTATTGAACTCACCTATAATAATACTGACGGTGTGATTACTATTTTAAACGGATGTATATGTACTTACTTATAGCATTATAATGGAAGCATTTTAGATAAGACATTATGAATACTTAGAAAATCATACAGCAATATAACTTAGATAACAATATTGAAAATTATATCTTTGTTTGGTTGAACAACTGTCAGATTGAGATCGTTTTATTATGCTGTTTATATACTCCAATACTTCTTCACCTTAGGATAAGTGATGTAAATAGGTAACACTATTTTTAAATTAGTTCAAACCAACAATCAGACCGCATTAATGAATAAACTCCTTAAAATCGAATTAAAAGTGACCATATACCTTTTAATTCCTATGTTTTATGCTATCTATTTACAACTCTTAACTATTAAATAAAACTACAACATGACTATACATATACTAAGAATGTAACGATTATTCATAGATTCACATTGTTTTTCTTTGAAAGCTCTTATTTTTAGATATCTTATCAAGATAAGGGACAATATAGATAAATTCTATATTTAGTAAAAAAAATATTAATACCATGTAAAAGAAACTTATAAGCCCAAGTAAAGTCTCCGGATTCTTCCATCATAAGTCTGGATTGCCCTGGAGTTATGTACTCTAAACACGCTATCCCGGTATTATACTGGCGATAAATTAGCACTTCGCACCCGATCTTGCTTTGTGAGAATTTAACATCGATGATTTATGCACAATTATCGATTAATTCAAGCAGCTATCGCAAGTTTGTACGAACGAACGAAGGTACGCAAGTGTGAACGAACAGAACTTCAATAATTCATAAAAATTAATGAATATGTTTTTGGAAGTTGCCTTTATCAGATTGGTGCAATAATATAAATGCCTGCACAGTATAAGCGAAGCTATTATAAATGAATTTATCTCAAAGTAAACGCCTCAGACTTATTTATTTCTTGGAAAATGTTATTACAGCACAAATTTAAATTGATTTTGAAGTATACAGTGTTTTGAACAAGAAAACGATACGTATTGATTCTAAATAACAATCGGCATCAAGTTATTATATATAAAATAAAGCAAACAATAATATGAAACAGTGTTTATAAAGCAGGTAATGGTAGCTATTTGGCGCACAGAACCACAAACAAATATCCGAGGTGTAATTTTATCTGATGCCAGCAAAAACCATCGTGATTGCCAATCACCTTACCATACCATTATACGGCCTGATTTCGCTTAGTGATGGAAAAGTTCAAAATATTCAAGACTAGTTTCTTCCACCAGATTCATCTATAAAAAAAAAATCTTAAAAAGTAAATAAATTGCAACAAAATATATATACGAAATGAAAGCTTCAATCAGAAAAAAAGGAACTTCATTCTTGTACAAATATCGTAAATATTATAATATTTTAATACATTGGTAATAAATTTTAGTTACGAAAATATTTTTAAAAGGATTTTTGGAATTAGTCGTAACAAAATGCAAAAAATAGCCCAGATGAGCATATTTTATGTAATTATCTACGTGGTATTATTTTGAAAGGATTTTTTGAGAAGCAATATCCCATCCCTATTGGTGAATTATTAAGGCACGTGGCGTTGTAGACCATTTTCACCATAAAAAATAAACCCCTCTCTTTTCTTTATTGCATAAGACCAAAGATGAATTTCCTGTAACTTGACCATAACGATAGTCGTATCACGTTCCAATAAGATTTGTTTGCTTTCTAAATATGACGCCGTAACCACGGCGGCGATCGATATTTATTTATTTCTAAGTTTGTCATATTAAATCAATCTTAGATAATATATAACGAAGAAACAAAAAGTTTTGATATTTGTATCACATACTCTCGTCTTATATATATGTTAGTATATATAAAATATTTTTGAAAAAATAAACAACGTTATTGAACGACTAATTACCATTATACAATA